AGTAGTAATTAGTACAGTAGTAGTACAGTAGTAGTACAGTGGTAGCACAGTAGTAGTACAGTAGTAGTACAGTAGTAAAGTAGTAGCACAGTAGTACAGCAGTAGTAGTACAGTACCAGTACGAAGGTTTAGGGGTGCAGACCCAAGGGCCTTCGGCCTTCCAATTTCGGAGGTCGGATTCGCTCTTCGCAAGCACTCCGGGCTTGGGGCTCAGGGTCCTAGGGTTTAGGGACTGCAGGTATCTCCAAATCGGCAAGTTCCGCATCGGATACAATGGCGATTGTTTGGTGATTCTCAACGCCGACGGCACCCACCCGAACAGGATCATTGAAAAGTTGAGCAGCGATGGTACTCTCAAAAGGTTCTTCGACGACGAAGATCTTCGCGAAGCATTTGTCGATCGTCCTCCACATAAGTGGCCGTGCCCCCAGATTGGTGATATCGCCTTCGGCACCTGCGATCGGAGCTTTGGAGCCTGGGGCGATCGCTTCGTCCAGCTGGGTGATTGGCGCCTGGCGGCCATTGATGCTAACCACTTCAGCATCTCCCACCGTGATGGCTGGACGGCCCAGATCTTCCGGTCCGACGGGACTTTGCACCCAGGACCCAGAACGGACTTCAGTTCGTGGGACAGGCCCGTCGGCTTCCCTCACGGCATTACCTTCGGGAAGAACTTTGTGCAGATTGGCAGCTTTCGCCTGGCAGCGATGGACGACAACCACCTGACCGTCTCCCACAGCTCTGGGAATACTGCGCAGATCTTCAGGAGCGACGCCACCGTCCATCCCGGGCCGAGGACGGACTGGAACGCTTGGAAGGACAGGGAACAAGACGTTGCTGGGCTTGCAGCTGGAGTTCGATATGGGAAGCACTTCCTCCAGATCGGCAACTTCAGACTGGGAGACGCGGGCTCGGTTCACTTGTTGGTCACCCACAGCACCGACACTTCGCCTTCCACGAGCCGGACAATTCGAATCTACAGGTCTGATGGTCATTTGTTTCTGGGCTCTTGTTAAGGAAGTTGGTTCAAGTTACCATGATAAGGAGACCCTATGCCCTACCATTTACTGTAGAGGACATGGTAACTCAAACTATACTCCCTAACAAGAATCCAGGTTTGGAGAAACTCCCGGCTGGGGGCCTCAAGTGACCGACCGACCGACGCAATCGCATTGCGGCGCCATCCAGAGCACCACCGGCACCTGTCCTGGGATCACTGCAGGTGGGGTCCCAAGGACGGGGTTGTTTCTAGGCAGGGTATCGGCGACATTAGCAGCACCGCAAGTCTCCGAGCTGTCCCAAAGAAAGCCTTACTATTCCATACCCTTTTATACTATACGATAATGTTATATATACTTATATACTTAATATACTTAATATACTTAATATACTTATATACTTATATACTTATATACTTATATACTTATATACTTCATATACTTATATACTTATATACTTATATACTTTATATACTTATATACTTATATACTTATATACTTATATACTTATAGACTTATAGACTTATAGACTTATATTCTTATATACTTACATACTTATATACTATGTACTATGTACTATGTACTTTCTACTATATACTCCTTTTATGCTATATACTATATGCTATATGCTACATACCATTCACTATTCGCTATGTTACTATTTACTTTTACTATTCACTATATACTATACTATATGATACTGTGTTTTTAGTGCTTACCATTTACTATATACTATATACTATACTATATGACACTGTATGATACACCATTATGCCGTTCTTTAGGTGATGGCTTCCCATTTACTATATACTATATACTATACTATATTCTTTAGGTGATGGCTTCCTGCAGCTCGGGGACTGGCGCCTTGGAACCGCCGACCTGGTGCACTTCTCCTTCTCCCACCGAAAGGGGAAAACCGCTCAGATCGTGCGAAGGGATGGTTGCGTCACTGGGTTCTTGTTCTAGGGATTAATTTTAGTTACCATAGTAAGGAAAGCCTATATTATAGTAACTTAGATTAAACTCCTTAACAAGAACCCAGGTCAGGAGGGACCGGCTTTAGCACTTGGGGCCTTGAGGCTCGCGCGGCCTCCAATGTAAGATTTGGCGATCGCTTTATCGAGCTACATGGCTTTCGCATTGGCGAGGCCGACGTTTCTTGGAGTTCTTTTGGGGTCCTCACCATATCGCACCAGCACTTCCATGGAGGACAGTTCTCAATCTTGGCATTTGCCCCTTCGGACTCTGGTGACGGTGATGGTGAGACGCTACACATGACTTCGGGCGGCTTGTTCAATCGTGCCTACGGCCCGCCCAAGGGCATCTCCTTTGGTGACCGCTTCGTGCAGATTGGCAATTTCCGACTCGGAGATGTCGATGGAAAGCAGTTCTCCATTGCGCATGTGGGCTTCAGAGCTGGCAACGACAGGAGTGACAAGACCATCGTCGTTTACAAAGACGATGGGAGCGTGACGAAAAAGTCCCCACCAGCAGGCGGCAACGCTGACACCACGGTGGGCCGCCCATTCACGCCCTGCAAGGTCACTGAGATCCCCTGAGACGCTGAGCGGCGGCCGCATTTATGCGTGCTGCGACGCAAATGCAGCAATCCCTGCGTGTGTCTTCTTCCGGTTTGCTCGTAGGGACGTGTTCTGATTGAGATTGCGGGGCGAACAAGAATAGACCATCAATGCAGTTCCGTACCTCACTGTGGCAAGGCAAGCCTTCGTGAAGTGATCAGTGGGGGCTTCCACGGAAGAATGAAGCCGCCCAGTATCCATATTGTGGACCTTAAAGGTCAAGGCCCAGGTTTTAACCATCGGCCCTACTTGGCTTGTGGAAGGCCGTAGTAGGATCCCGCACAGCTTGCCAAGTCATCCGCACATCCGTGGCATGAAAACACAGGCAGCAATCGACCCGCAGGGTTCCGTTGGAAGACTCCTGCGAACTAAGATGCTCACATGCTCATGACGATCGAAGCCTTTGATTCAAGACTCCCAGGGCAAGGCTCAAGGTAAACTTTCAGCAGTTCAGCAAGTCAACAATCAAGACTAGCAGTGCTTCAACTTTTCCGTGCAAGAAACATGAAACTCACTCGCTGTCAAAACCTGCTCGCGCCATGGGCCACCAAGGTCACCGAGAGCTCCTGAACGGCAGTTCATGGCATGGCATTGTTGAGTCTGTAGTGCACATGTCGTCGTTTGCCGCTTGCAAGTTCACGTGGCTCGCCAAGATTGGTGAGCCAGTGTTGTGTTTCACGGACTTTGGTTCATCCACAGCATGAAAGCTCAAGCAGAGCTGGACGCATGGTGTTCCAAGGAGCTTCACGCCTTGAACGGTGCAGGTTGCAGAGGTGCATGGGTTGGTGTGCCGGCAATTAGTTAACATCCTGCCGAGATACGAAGCTGCCCGCATGCTCATGATGCTCAGGAGCTTTGGATGCAAGAGGCTCAAGACAGAACTACAAAGCAAACCTTGCGCTTTTCAGCCCTTCAGTCCTCAAACTAAGGGTGTTCGTGTTCGAGCCGTAGGCTAGTACGCATCAACTTGTCAACTGTATACCGTAGCTGGTAGCTCACATATACCCGAAACCCTAATCCCTAAACCCTAAACCCTAAACCCGAAACAGCAAATGCCCTAAAGCTACACTGAAAGAAAAGTCTGCATCGCAGCTGCCATGGGCCACGACGAAGGCTGGGCCGGCCGACGAGACGCGTGGTGAGCTCAGGCAGTTCTGCAACACCAGGATTTAACGTACTTTTGAGTTTAGGGTTTGTTACGGTACTTCACGGTTTAGGGTTTAGGGTCTGTTAGGGTACTTCTAGGTTCAAGGTACTTTAGGGTAATTTTTTAGGGCTTAGGGTTTATTAGGGTACTTTGCGGGTTCAGGGTTTATTAGGGTACTTCAGTGTTCAGGGTTTAGGGTTTGTTAGGGTACTTTAGGGTTTAGGGTTTTGGTCTTGAGAGTGTTCAGTTCCAAAGCATGGCTTTTTCCTTTGCTTTGATATTGGCAAGTTGTCCATGCATTGCAATCCTTTTGAAGCACCGCTGCACAGGACCCTAGACCCTAAACTCTAAACCCTAAACCCTAAGACCCTAAGACCCTAAACCCCTAAACCCTAAACCCTAAGACGCTAAACCCTAAACCGTGGGCCTTGTAGATAACCATTGTGCGAGTCGAGGCTCGAACTTTGACCAATGCAACAGCAGACTGGCTGCTGCAACCCTATAGCCTAAACCGGTGTAGCTCGCCTGGGCTGCAGGTAGAAGATGTGGAAGTTTCCGAAAGTAAGGGGTACCTTACTTTGGGGTCCTTAGAATCAGGATCCTACTATTTAGGGTACTATATTAGGGTCCCCTATTTTCGGAAACCCCCATGTTGTTGTGGGACCCAAAGAAGTAGGAGGCTTGAGCGGAGAGCCTTTGCTTACAGCCTCACGGTTGGCCGCATGGAGTTCCATAGAGCGTTCCGTGTTGACTGGCCTGGTATACCCAAGATTGCTGATTCACTGGTTCATGCATTTTTGCACCCGAACTGAACCCAAACTTTCCTAAAAATGCACAAGCCCCCATGTGCTGGAGCCAGAGAGCATTTGTCGTGAATCTTAGCCGGCACCAATCCCGGAGCAAACCTTAAGGCTCCAGGAAGTCAAGACAGCCTTTTCACGCTGGTTCTTTGGTGTGTCGTCGGGTTTGATGAGGGTTCCATAGTGTTTTCATGCCTTCAACAGCGACGCTTCAGGACAAGCCTAGTCAACCCCAAACCCGAAATTCTGACCCCTAAACCCTGAACCCTAAACCCGAAAACGCCCTTTACTCTAAAGCGTCGCTCCCAGGAGCTACTCAGGCCCCTTCCAACGCATTCCGCCCCCAGCCGGGCACTCCGGTGGCTTCATGTTTCAGTTTCACGTTTGTTTGGGGTTTCGGGGTTTTTAATATAGGCCTTAATAGCCCTTAACAATTAGAACTGTGTTTAGGGGCCCATTATACTACAATTTTAATAAGGAGCGCCCCCAAAAATAGTAATGGTAATTATTTAGGCCCCTACAGTACTCCAAACCTGCACCCTATAGGGTCCAGGCATTAGGGGTCAGCCTACGCTGCAAGGTTTTGTGCAACGTATGCAACATGACGCTGAAGATGGAAGGCGCTCGTGCGCCAGGTATGTCTTTTCTCCACATCAAAACCACAAGCGCTCAGATGAACAAGCAAGGTTTCGTCTCCTTTTGACGACAGGTCGTCTCCCGTTTTGAAAGCCAAAAAATTGGCATTCCGCCGTGACCTTCCTAGAGGTGTGTCGTGGGCTTCTGCGATTCTGAGGTTCCCTAAACCCTAAGCCCTAAACCCTATTCATGTTGGTTGATCCATGTGTTGGGACCCCGTGACATGATTCAGGCTGGCCTAGGGCGCGTGTAGTAGTCTAGTGTTGTTCTTGGATTGGATGGCTTCTTTGTTCTTCTGCTCTCGGCTTCTGGTGCTTTCTGTGAGTTCGTGCCGGGTCAGGGCGTCTTCGAGGCAGCCTCGAATTCGATTGATTGTCATTGCCGAGCATGCCCCCGTGGCCGCTGCCGCTGCTTGTTGCCAGTCTCCCTCCAGGAAGCTTGTTCTAGATTAAATCCTAAACCCTAAACCCTAAATCCCGAAACCCTAAACCCCAAACCCCTAAACCCTAAACCCTGAAGGAAATACCCGCAACCCCAAAAAAGCCTAAACCGGAAGCCCTGCGCCCCAAACCCTCAAAGACTCTTGCGATGGACTTCTGCAAGGTCTGGATCCTTCGTAAGGAATTTAAGTTAAGTTACCAGAATTGTGACGCCCTACTATATCTCTATATATTTCAGTATGGTAGCTCAAATAAACTTCCCTAAGCCCTAAACCCTAAACCCCAAAGACTATCTCTCTAGCTATTTATTATGGTAGCTTAAATTAGCTTCTCTAAACCCTAAACCCCAAAGACGAGCAAAGGGGACTTCTGCAAGGTCTGGATCCAAGACCTCCAGAGAAGTGACTACTCTCCGGATGCCCTGAAGGCAGCAACGTGCTTTTAGGTTTAGGGTTTATAAGGTTTAGGGTTTAGGGTCTAGGGTTTTTAGGGTTTATAGGGTTTAGGGTCTAGGGTCTAGGGTTTAGGGTTTAGGGAGCCACCCTGGAAGCTGGCCACTGGCCCTGGACCCCGAAACATAAGCCCTAAGCCCCAAACCATAAGACCTAAACCCCAAATCCTAGACCCAAAGCCTTACATCCTAACCCCTCGAAATCCGAGACCCTCAACCTTAAATCCTAAACCTAAACCCTAAAACCTGTGCGAACCCCAAGGAAGGTACCCCTAATTTTCCGAAGATTCTTCGCCCCCGCATCCTAAAGTCCTGCACACCCGCTGCCAGTACAATCCCCCAGAAAGAGCAAAGGCAGAAGGACAAGGGCTGTTGTAGCCCTTACAGAGCCTTATTGAACCTTGAACAGATCTCTATAAACAATCCCTGAAATAGCATCGCCGAAACTCGAAACCCCGTTGTAGAATTCTAGAAGAAGCTGGTAAGACCCTTCTGCAAAACCTCAAACCCTAAACCCCTAACCTTAATCCCTAGCCTCTAAACCCAAAGCTTCGGAAAGCACCCCGAAATCCTCAGCCCTAAACCCCAAAGCTTATAAACTAGAACCCTAAGCCCTAAACCCTAAACCTTATAACCCTAAACCCTAAACCTAAAACCCTGAGCCCTAAAGCCTAAGCCCTGTAAGCCTTCCCTGGAAGATGCGACAGGCCCTGAGGCGCTCCGAGGAGTTGGCAAACTCCCAGGGCTGCCCCTGCAGTGCAGTCGACGCCTCGGAGCAGGGGTTTAGGGTTTAAGGGTTTAGGGGTTTAGGGTTTAAGGGTGTGGGGGTTTAGGGTTTAG